ATGCCACCCGAAGGTTGCAGGAACAGCAACTCATATTCTGCTTGGGAACCCTGCAGCCCAATGGTATCAATGTGGATTTCACAAGCTTCAAAATCTCCCCTCCCCCTACCGCATCCCAAAACCAGTCCAGCTCGTCCCTGCCTCCCTAACCTGATCTTCCTCCCACCTATCCCCTCCTCCCACCTCAAGCCGCACCCCCATCTCCTACTGACTAACCTCATCCCGCCCCCTTGACCTGTCCGTCCTCCCTGGACTGACCTATCCCCTCCCTAACTCCACACCTACACTCACCTTTACTGGCTTCATCCCCGCCTCTTCGACCTGTTTGTTTCCTCTCCACCTATCCTCTCCTCTATCCATCTTCTATCCGCCTCCCACTCTCTCCCTATTTATTTCAGAACCGCCTTCCCCTCCCCCTTTTCTGATGAAGGGTCTCGGCCCGAAACGTCAGCCTTTCTGCTCCTATGATGCTGCTTGGCCTGCTGTGTTCATCCAGCCCTGCACCTTGTTGTCTAAGATTATGGCTGATGTCATTGTAACCTTAAATCCACATTCCCACCTTCCATGATAACATTTCAACCCCTTGCTTTTTACAAGAATCTAACTACCTTTGCCTTGACATGTAGGCCAGATCAAATAAGAACATCAGTTCCTTCGCTAACGTCCTTTACAGAAGGAAATTACTGTCCTTACTTGGTCTGGCCTGAATGTGATTACAAACTGACAACAATGTGGCCGACTCTTAACTGCTCTTCGGGGAAAATAAGGATAGGCAATAACTGCTGGCCAAGCCAGCAATGCCCATATGTTGTGAATGAATTTAAAAAAATTCAAGGAACATTGCCTTTCTAGGGAGAGAGATCCAAAGACTCATGATCCTCTGCAAGAAAACATTTGACCTAATCATTATTTTAACGGGTGACCTCTGATTTTTAAACAGTGACCTCTAATTCTAAATTCTAAGAGAGTTTCAACCAACTCACCTCTTAAATTCTGAGCTTTAGTGGGTGCAAACCCAGCTTGTTCAGCCTTTCCTCATAAGACAACCTGCCCATTCTGGGTATTAGATTAGTAAAACTTCTGTAACTACCATCAATGCACT